AGGGATTAGGCTGGATAATGCACGCATAGGCATTATGCGTGCATTAGGCACACCTAGGCGCGCATTATCCCAATGTGCACCTTTTAGATGGAAAACGCATTTTTCGCGCATTTCCCGAATTCGCCTATTTTTCGGTCCGCGTCGCACCTAGGCGGCGCATTTTGGCGCTTTTTAGAACATGGGTTATGGTAGCTTTATCATCATTGTCATTTTCCTGGTCATTGCTTACACTATTTGCAAAAATAGAATTTGTCTTGGCTTTGTTGTGTAATTTGTGTCCCGGTGGGTAGCCATAAAGTTTATAACACTTCCCAACAAGATGACCAATCTTATTGCAGTGAGTACAAATGGGTGGCTCTGCATTGCCTGCCTTAAAATAGCTTTCAAGAGGATGTCCAGGGGCCCTGCAATGAGAGCAGTATGGTTTGGTTCTGTTAGGAGTTGGAGTTGGCTTAGTGCTGGGTTTGGAAAAGAATTTCGGGAGGCAAGAGCCATGGATTCAGATGTAGGGCTACTATAGGTCATTTGGTGTTGTCTTTCTTGTTGTTGAACAAGAGACAACACTTCATTGATTGTAGGCAAAGGATCTATCAGCATAATCCGGTCTCATTTAGCCCCATCAAGAACTGAATGACACAGTCTCTTTGATACCTATCCAACAGAATTTTCAGCTTTCCACACTCACAGTCAGGAATAGGATCATACACTGAGAGTTCATCCCATAAGTATTTTAGTTTTCCATAATTAACACTAATAGAGTCATGTTCCTGAACCAAACTAGCTAAGGCTTTCTTTATTTGAAAAATTCTAGGTCCATTTTGTTGTGTATACCTGTCATGTAGCTCTGTCCAAAGTTCTCGAGCATCATCCACAAATATAGCTCTATCCATTTTGTTCCTGAACCAAACTAGCTAAGGCTTTCTTTATTTGAAAAATTCTAGGTCCATTTTGTTGTGTATACCTGTCATGTAGCTCTGTCCATTTTGTTGTATATACTTGTCATGTAGCTCTGTCCAAAGTTCTCCAGCATCATCCACAAATATCAAAGAGGATTTAACTGAACTAGTTACAAAGTTATGAATCCATGAAACCACCAACTCATTGCATCTTTTCCATGCATCATAAAGGAAGGGTCATTCAGATCAGCGGGCTTGGTGTATTCTCCATTGATGAAACCCAATTTGTTCTTGGCTCTAAGAGCTTTTGTCATTGCTCTAGACCTAGATACATAGTTCTCCGTGGTTAAAAGGTCAGTCCCTAGAGTGACATCAGGGTTATCCCTATTCTCCAACCTATAGGGGTTGGTGATATCACCGAAATTAAGGAAACGAGAGGGAAGGTTGGTTCTGGGCGACTGAAGAGTGGATTCCCTTTCAGATGACGTTTTTTCAGATAAATTATCACCCATTGTTGATTATTTCTCAACCTTGCTCTGATACCATGTAAGATTTTGTAATGAATAAATGAGAAATAGAGGAAGAAGAAGAAGTGCTGAATATAATTCTCTCTGCCTTTCATTTTAGTTGAATGAATGAGTACAAAGAAGAACCACAATATATACACGAAAAGGAAATAACAAACTCCTGATTACCAAACGGCTGCACATGCATTTGCCTCCCACTATACACCTCATCAAGAAGAATAAAACAAAAAAGGAATACCTCAGCAGGACACCTCAGCTGAAGTTTAAACAGAAAAATTAACTATCGAAAATTACAAGCTCATTCCACTATTTGTACAAAAATGAAGGACTAGCCATTTTCCCGTTTCTGCCTTGAGCTTGCTCCCACTACATCATGAACCATTTCTTTGTCATTGGACACTTCATGCTGCAGAGTATGTGATTGGCTAATAATGGGGTGTCGACATTTTTTTATGCCACTTGTCATTCTAAAAGTGGTTAATCATGACGAATTCAGCTTGTCAAGAATCTTGAATCATGATCTCACCCTTCAATTACGGCGATCATTGTCTGAGCTGTACTTAAATTGTGAATGTCCGACTTGTGGTTCAAAATTAATTCTTCAATCTCTTTTAAGCGAGATGCGAGATTGGACACCAACAAGGACAAATACCAACGTTTTCTTTTTCCTTCTTCATAAATAAGAAAAATCATGCAATGTTATGTTTTCTTAGCTAGTATTTCAAAATGTTTACGCACCAATAAATTAATGAACTCCAAAAATAATGAAAAGTAATCACAAGACAATGGGAGTTTTGTTTTTAACCACTAGATACGGCATGTTTAATGAATTTAAGTTAAAACATAGTACATACTTTTGAGAGGGATTGGCCGGCTGAGAGGCCTCCATCTAAAGATGAAAAAGAAAAAAACTTATCTTGTTTGGGGATACAATATAAGAATTAAAGAAGTTACGAGAAGTATGACTAGATTGCATGGAGCATAGTGTTTTCTTTCCACTCTTGAGTGTGATCCCCCGTTTTAGGATTGGACGAATTTGTTCTCCTTGTATTTGATTAGTTGGAGGATAGGTTGAGTGAGCCCCCTCCTAAATTGTACTTCTTTTATTAATGAAACGTACCACCCAGAGCCATTTTATTTTTTAAAAAAGTTTACTTATAAGTAGGCAAGTAATTTTTTAGTAAATAAATTTTTTTGTTAGTCCATGATGGAAATAATTAATCAAGTTGAAATAAATGTACATTACTAAAAAATAAGCAACTTTTGTAAGAAAAAAAGTAATCTATCCAAGTTGAAAATCAAAATTTACTTCGAGTAAGTGTCTCCTAAAAATATACTTCATTTTTTTCCATGATCCGTATTTTTTCTCTATTTTACTTTGGTTTTCCATGAATATGCGATAAGAAGACGATATACTGTTTTCTCACTTCTTGAGCTTTATGATTGACATAGAAGCAACTTGTTTTCAATAAATTTCAGATTAGCTACTGTTGACCCCAAAAAATGAGCTCAACAGATACCGAGCCCACTCCTGCCGTGTCAAGTACGGGTCCGACACGTTTCTACCGGACGGTGATGGGTAGTTTTTCTGTTCATGAACGTGGGAGGCACTTTCTGGCAAGAGCCAAAAATGTTTGG